TCCACAGAGAAGTTGTACGAGGAAGAAAACTCCTTGTAAAACACATAGTGGTGGAACCAAGCATGCAGATGATGAGGATGGTGTTTTGAATTTTGAGGCGTTGTGCGTTTAGATAAACTTAGAAAATAAAACATCATCTAAATACATAGAAGACTACATCCAAATCGACATCATTTATCGTAGCTACATCTATCTACTTTATCCACGAAGATCTACAGGTAGGGACCTCTAAAATACAGGATTTACCTAATTAGGCACCAGTTTTTAACCTCTCAATTGATGAAATGAAAGCACCTATTCTTTGTTGCCTTCTTTAATTATAATATTATCGTTGTTAATTATGAATTATATTATTTATATTATTGTTGTTAATCAATAAATAAATAAAAAATATAAAGACCCCAGAGTCTTATGCCGGTTCTTTTGAGACGTCTTGTTATGCGAACCTGTGTATATTTAGACGTTATTAAGTGTCTTAAACGAGCCTGATTAGATAAAACGATTTGACCTCGTCTAACTTTGACTATGATGTAGAGTCAGCTTACAGTGTTATGATAAATGCTATCAAATTATGAATTTGTAACGTTTTCCTTATTAGCTCGAGTTTGAGTAGACTATGGCGATAGCTGGATATTATCGGGACTTGCGCCATCGACTAGCTCAATACCTTACCCGACAAGTGATCTCCCTTCTCCTTAGACGGACATACTGAGATGGTATCAGAGTTTAAGCAGTTTACATATCTTATCTATCCACGTATTAACCATACAGTGGCGGTGTAAGAATATCCATTAACCCATATCATCCGCTGGGTGTCGTAAGAGGTGACAGAGAAAAACTGAAACAGGAGAGAGGCAGCAGAATTCTCCTGATAACAACTCAAAATAATAAAGAAAATGTGGTTGACAGTTACCAAGCGTGGCAACTATCAGAAAATCCCAACTCAATCTCATCCCAGGCAATTTCAAGAGGTTATCGGAGGGTGGAATTTTGATAGGCTGTAACGGTAACGGTAACGGTACCAGTAACGGTAACGGTAAAAAGTAATAAGGGTCTGAATGTTCGTCCTAGTACAATTCATGTATGTCAACTTCCTCCACAGAAACAGTAGAAAATGCTAGTGTGGGTAACGTTTTGTTTAAATAGTGATGGGTATTTTGATAGAATATCTATTACAGTTTATAAAAGTTTACATAAGCCTCCCCCATAGATTATAGGGCGGATTTTGACATCAAAAAGATGTTGCCGACCATATTCTGTTCAGTTTCCCTCTGTCGCCTCTCACGACACCCAGGGACGATATGGGATAGTGGATATCCTTACACCGCCACTACAGGGTAATTGAAGAATTAATCAAATAAGTATATGTATAAATGCAAATCAATTGCTAAATGTATAAAAGATCATCACTTGAGAACGGCTGGACCGGTTTAGATTAGAGATGAGCCGAATGTGGATTACATCGAATACGAATATTCTGCCGAATATTATTCGGCAGGGTCACTTCGGTACCTAATCAATTTATGTTGAAGTTTGTTACCGAAAAGCGCGCGGGATTAGTGCAAGACCATAGATGTAAGAAATATCATCATCATCTAGTACTGAGCAAAAAAAGCCGGCACATGCTTATTCATATCATGCATGTTTAGAATATTTCAGTGAGAAAAAAGTTTTTCGTTACATAATATGTTATTCTTAGTGAAAATTGATAATTGTGTGATAAAAATAAGTGGCAGATGATCTACTAGTTATTTGAACTTACTTTAGAGAAACTGACGACCACAGTAAAGTGACATGTACTAATGTAATGTTTTTTTGTTTATTTTTTTATTTTTATAGGATAGGGTGACAAACGAGCACACAGACCACCTGATGGTAAGTGGTTGCTTGTGGCCCATAGACATCTAGATCTATCCTCGATTACGAATCAAAATGCAGATGCGTTGTCACCCTTGAGGACTAATATGGGATGCCTTGTTTCCAGAAAAAATGGTCTCCGGTTCTCTACACTCACCATACGAAACACAGCAGCATTATGCTACTATTTGACGCTGGTATTCTGTGAGAGCGTGGACCTTCCCCGGTCGAGCCGACCCATTCGTGCTACAACTTTACTACTAATATAACTGCAGCATGGCTCTACCACGTAAAAAATTCCAAAAACATTTTATCAAGATTTCTGTTTGTTATAATTGGAAAAGACATGGAATTACTCACTTCGTACATTTCAGTACAGTGAACACTTTGAGTACCACTATAACGAATTTTCGGTGGTTTAGCCGAATATTCGGTATGTAAAGCTGCCGATAGTGCCGAATAACGAATATGTAACGAATATTCGGCCTAGTTTCTAGCCTAGTTTTTTCCGGTTCTACATAGTTTAGATGAATTTTTGTGTGTGTTTGATTGGTTTCCGGGATGGCTGAGGATCCGGTAGGTGGCGCTGCTGTCGAGATACAGAAATCGCTCGTGCGCAGCCGGGCCGGATCGCTAGAACGTTATAAAAAAATTCAGCAAAATATCGTTAGCGCATTTCAAATCAGCTCCGTATTACTGGCAAGCATCCAATAGCATAATATGATGGCTACGGATGTTGCGGTGCTTAAACTTTTGATGATTTATAAACATGTTATAACTTCATTATAAACATAACAAGTAAATTTTTATTACAACACAAAGAACACAGTCACGTAAAATGATCACTGTGTAATCGAAGAATCTGTTAAGAATATTAATTTAACTTACTAGTAATATTTAAAAAATACTTTCAATAAGATTTTTTTATAATTTGTATGAATTAAAATATTATTCTATTTTATTTTATAGAATATGTCAAAAACGGTCAAAAACGTTTTATGACTTCTGATAGCTGACCGTATAACTATCTCTATGTAAAATACCCAAACCGGCGATGGGCAGGGACGTGAAAGGTGGGAGACATGTGATAGTAATGAAGGAAAACCTTTCAACAACCGTAGAGGCTTAGGGGTGATAAACGAGCACACAGTCCACCAGATTGTAAGTGAACGTTGTGGTCGATAGACATCTACATCTTTCCTCCATTATGATTCAAAATGCAGGTGCGTTGTCATCCCTGAGAACTAAAATGAAATGCCACGTTTCGAGTAAAAAATGTCTTCGGTACTTTACACATTGAGCGGCTTTTTAGTAAAATGTTTTTACACTGGTATTCCGTGAGAGCATAGTCCTTCCCCGGTCGAGCCACGTGCCAAAACCATAATATAGTTGCAGCGTGGCCCTACCAATTAAATGTATATCCAGCTATGGTTACGACTATTAAGGACTTATAATAATTAAGTACCCAGTTGACCGAGCTTTGCTCGGTATTTTTCGCTCGGTTTTTTTTAATTCTGTGTTTTGGAAATTATATTTAGATACAAATTACATACTGATGAAATACGAATAATATTTTTTGATCGTAGCGACATAATAGAAAAAAACTGAACTGGTTATTTGAATAAAAAATCATGAGTGCAATTAGTTTAATTTAAATTTTCGTGTTTTTAAAAAATACAAAAAAAGGGCTCGAAAAAATAGATATTCTCAAAAAAGAAAGTTCCTTGAAAAGAAATTAAAAAAGTCGTTCGGTCGGTCTGGGCTCGAACCATGGTATTACGATTTTGTGACCGCCCAATATACCATTTAAGCTATTTGTAATCATTGATAAACTGTCAAAATTTACCTTCTTATTCTAACGATATTGTAGCAGTTTTTCATTGCCTAAAAACACGAACAAAAAGACATTTCCTAAAAATAAATACTAGCTAGATCGATTTATTGCCCCCGAAACTCCCTGCACACAAAATTTTATGAAAATCGTTGGAGCCGTTTCCGAGATTCAGATTATATATATATATAAGAATTGCTCGTTTAAAGGTATAGGATAGTACTTGTAGTGATGATTTTTTTTTCGAATATATCTGAGAAACTTTATTAACCAGATTTAAGGAATCGTAACATCTTTGACTGCAGCCATGATGTATAAGGAAGCTCAAAGCCACTCAGCTAGCAATGAAGGGGTCTATACTTATACGTCTTTTGTAATGCGTACAGCAAGTAGTGGAATATAATTCTACTTATTAGTAGCCTAATTTACGTTAATATAGCCGTTAATTAAGGCAAGAGTGAATAGGCTTTTGTTACGCTAAGACAGTGCGATTTACCATACCTTCACCACCTCTTATCACCAGGTAGTATTGTGCGGTCAAGCACTGGCTTGTAAAAAGTAAAAACAAGTGAATTTTTAACATTAAAATAAAACACATTTTTATCGCCTTTGTCATCCGAATTTGAGCTATATGTAAAATTTCAAGTCTCCAGCAGATCGGGTAGTTAGTTTAAACAAACAGACAGACAGACAAGAAAGTGACTTAATATAAAGGAGGTAAAATATTTTTCAACAACCTAGCATTAATAAACAGAGAAACTTATGAAACAGTATCAAACGAATCAACGTACGTATCCCAGTAACGTCGTAAAAATTGTACCATAACTTACGGTTACCGTACATTGAACGTTTGGCGAATTTTATGCGCATTTTTATTTAGACAATCATTCTGACGGAATTGATTGCCCCCAACACGCTATCACGATAAATTGCTTTTTGCGCTCGCTCTATACAATTCTCGAATACAACAGTGCATGAATAGTAAGCAGTCAGTCACTCGAGACCGCAGCCGCTTGGCGGTACCTCGTACGGTTGCAAGGTTTCCGTAAAACTGGACGTCTCGAAGGACACGCGACCTTTAAGAGCCAAAAGCGTTTGCCTGGCTCAGAGACCTCGCTGTCAATATGTACGTTCAGTACGAAGCGCAGACTCCAAACGCTCAATTGCTGGCAAACAGTTATTCCATCACCGCCCTTCCGTTTCCACTGTCAAACGAATTCTCAAACCCAACGACGTCGTGGTCAAACAACAAAATAGGAAGAAAGTCGATAAAATCCCATTAACGATTTCCGTTCAAAACATTTCTATACCGATGCGATGCATCGATTCTAACCATTCGACCTTTAAACAACGTCCTCAAAGTAACTTAGAAAGAAGCAATAATAATTCTAAACTTTTCAATCCTAAACAGGTCGGCGACAACAAGAGACTGTGTCAAACGATCGCCAGCGGGAAAGAGACGGAGAACAAGCTACTATTGCAGATAAGCGAAGCCGAGCAAGTAACCGACTTTGAAAGGATTCTTAATGCTAATGCAATACTGTGGGAACGGGGTCACGTGTGGCGACGCAGCATTGCCGCACATACTCCGTCCGCTTCACTCCTCCCGAGACCCCGCTCTACCTACTCACTTCATACAGTGAGCCAAGCCTACCAACAACTGTTCCAACAACACGAGGAATCGGTCCAACCACTCGTAGAGCGCTATCGTCAAGCCGCCGACACTAATGTCACTTGTACAACACCAAGTTTACTAGAGAAAAATTTCTACGAAAATCTTCAGGATCTCTCCAAATTCTACGAGGATGACAACGATTTGCAGAAGGAAATAGAAACTATAACGGATCGTCTCATAACTGTGGAAGTGGAAGTGGAGTCTCAGCAATCTAGCGCCCGAAGTAAGAACTTCAACGTCAATTTAGCTGGTCTGATAGGATTACACGTGAACGGGGAAGGATTTTCTCCAACTGCACGTGAAGATCAAGGCCCTGAGATTGAAAAAAACACCGCGTATGAAGGGAAGGAATGGCTTCCGAGTATGAGCGCAAATTTCGATGAGCGACAACAATCAAACGCAAACAGCTCAAGTGTTGACCATCTGGCAAGTAACTTGGAGTCAGTCCAAATTGATTGCGATGCTAAGGTTCCCACGATAACGTTTACCAATTACTGCGACGTGCGGGTCAAGAGCGATACGCCGGACAATACGAATGTCGTCATTCATCTCCCCGTGCCAGTTATTGACAGCATTGATGAGTCCCGCCCACCAATATAACCTGCAGTAATTGTGAGGTCAACCATTTAAAGTGTTCCATTAGCGTCTATTAACAAAGGTTAAAATGATTGCTATAGAATCCGAGCAGGCTGTGCCTAAAGACGACCGAATACCGAATATCGAAGCTACGACCTCGCAGAAAACACTAACAAGGTCGAGCGCTGTTAGTCAGAAATCTGTCGATATAATGGTCCATCCAGATAATTCCAACAACCCCTTACATAGATCCAAATTGGCTCCGACTCGGTCCGCTTCTGAGACGCAGTCATCGAGTAAGAAGGTAATAAATTTGAGGAAGACCAAAAACTCCTCGATAGAATCCACAATGAGCTTACCAAATCAGAAGTCTTTAGAAAAGAAACATGGAAGTTTAAGGCATCAGAAAGCCATTGGCGCACATTCGGACATAACTTTGACCACCCAACCGTCGATAACGGACGATAGAAAGGCACTTAGGGAAGCATTATATCAGGGTATATTTCATAGGCACAGAAGAACAATTTTCGCCGTTGGCTCATTTCTGAGGATGCTCAGAAGCAAAACTTCGAATTACGATTCGATAAGGTCGGACTCAGACGAAATATAGCAGCCATAAATAATTAGTGATTGTTGAAGCGTATGTTTAGTGGTGAAGTGATATAAACGAAATCGTGCTTCTAGTAAGACTCACGTAATAAAACAATGTTATTAGTTGACAGTTATTTTGATGTGAGACAGTAAAATAATGTTCCTATTTTATTTGTTTTGAGGTTTTATTTTAATGTTATTGTAAAACACCGCTTTTCTAGCCAAATATTACGTGTACATTTCTATAAAACTTAGAAAAACATATTAAACTGGTACAGAATGGTGAAAGTTGTAAGAGTAACATTGTGACATATGAATAATAAATTGCCATTATGTAAAAATATTACTTAATTTAATTTGGTAAAATTCAATAAGAGTTACTTTTCTCAATAACAGTGCCGTAGGCATATGCTTATAAGTTTTAAAATTGATTTAATAACAAGCTTATAAATCGCTTGTCCTATACGTAATGGTTGTGACCTTAAAATAACGTTTTTAATTATTAGCAAGCATGGCGACAATAACAAGTTGACAGCATTAACATCGCGTGACATTGGCTATTGTCAAGGGCTTGAACTGGCACGTTCCTTCATTAACTTGACCCTGATCTGGAACTAATTTATACTTATTGAATGCAGGTCGTAATTCACGAAGTTGTTGTGTTATTGAAATTTTTATACTGATACACAAGTTCATAGAAAATGCTAATTTACTAAAGGTGGAAAGGCAGGGTAACAAGATCAATGTGATTATGAAATGCTAGGTATAAAGCCAAAAATAGTTTCTTTAATTAAAATCCAACAATTTAACTAGACACATTTTTCTTAACCGTTTTTCCAATAAATAATAAATTTGCGAGGCTTTTGAACTGTTTTAAAATGAAATTCATATTTAATTTAAGTATATTACATGTTAAATGTTTAATGTTACTCTATAACATAGTTTTATGAATGCGGCAAATGGTGTACCTGTAATAATGAAAGTTGTCCCGAATGAATTTTGCCAAATTTAATCTTTAACTGGAAGTTGGAATAAGAATCTTTTCTTTCTTTATGTCATTCTGCCGTGCAGACGGTGGAGACCAACGTGCAGATGACTTAAAACAAAGAAAAGAAAAAACCTTGTAAAAGGATAATAACGATTGTCAATTTTTTTTTAATTTGTTATAAATTATTACATATATTAATTTATAATTATTGTCATTATAATTTAAAAAATCTTAAAGAAACTATAAAATGTGTAAAAAATCACGTGTGATGCTTAAATATACAATTTTATTAATTCCATTGTTATTAAATATGATTAATAGAAATAATTTGGAAATATTTTTGTTGAAACCAATTCAAATAGTCAACTTAAATTCCACATGCACAAAAAACTGACATTGGAAATGCAATTTGGAAGTTTATTATCTATTTTAATCGCAAATAATATTTATATTTACGTGAGCAAAAAAAAAACCAATATTGTATAATGAGTTAAATATAAACACTGTTTATACGTTTTTTTTCTAACGATGTTATTTTATTAGAATTCTTTTACTTTGTTTTCTCAACATTTCTAATCTTTGTTTCTGCAACTGTTTTGAATTTCGTTACGTTTTAACTAGCCTCTAAAGCGGCGGGTACTAAATAACTATACTACGTATTTGTTTAGAGGTGCGCAGTAAATAATACATTTAAGATGTTCTGCCCAAAATTCTCATATTTGTTGCAAAGTTCTTGATGGAAACTCAGACTAATAAAGAAATGGAGTGGATGGATGTTTTGACATCACACATTTGATTTTCGATGCTTACGTGTGTGTGAATGCGTATTTTTACAGTAATTTGAGTATGGATTTGGCTTGGTACATACATCATTTGAAATGTACACAGCACTCCGTTTTCCATTCTTCCATTGTTGGTCTGAGAATAGGGATAATAATATTACGATGAGTGAAATCGCTGTGTTGCTATTGCATAAAATGTTGGTAGAATATTTATCTTTTTTTTGCGATATTGATGATTTATTATATATATATATATATATATATATATATATATATATATTTAATGTAATAATGTTGAATGTAGATATTAGCTAATGGGACAGTGGATTGTTGATACACATTTTTGGAACACTTTATGCACTTTTATATATTTGTACATCTGAAATTTTGTATAATGTGCTGTTGTGAGGAGTTGTAGTTTATTGAGAATGTAATTTGTAAATCAGATGGTAATATTTACAATGTACGGATTTTAGGAAGATATCTCCATAGATATGATAAGAAGAGCTTATACTTCATGATTTTTCTTTATGCTTGATATTAATTATTTTTTTATATAACAAATTTGTCCAGTTTGCTTGTGTAATACATAAGAATATTACTAATTTCGTTGGTATTTTTGCCATTTTAAATATTTGTAGAGATGAAATAACATTTTTTTTTAATTTTATTGCTATAAATAGCTTGTAACCTCGATGTAGTATGTAGATTCGCATATCTTTTTTAATTTGTCTAGAAACTAGAACTTAAGGTTCTGAAAGTGAATCTGAAGATGAACTGTTATAGGGAACATTAAATTAAATTATTTTTAACATTTAAATTTGTAATACGAACATTAAATTAAGTTATTTTTTAAATTTTAACATTTAAATATGAAATACAGATTCAATTTTATAATCATTATATAATTTATAATTTGATAATAAATTGTTAATCGTGTAAAAAAGCACATAAACTAATGTTAATAAATGTTAATTTTTTTTACTGTACTTTATATAATTTTGTAGAAATCGCTAAGTATTTTTTTTTGTTTTAATGGTAACATTCCTTGGAAACATGTAATATATTAAATGATTTTGTACGCCTACGGATAACAATAAAAGATAAAGACTGCGAAAATTAAAAAAAAAATACAAAAATGAGTCCTTTTCATACGTTACAGATTAGTTAACCCCATTATTAAAGTTATTTTTCGCACAGATTTTTTTTCATTTAATTCTATTTTTCAACATGGACGCAGATAGAATGAAGACCAGGATCTGGCAGGTGAGTTGTTTTGAAGGCTATAAAGTCAAGTTTAGGTTGTAAAGAATAGAGATAAGGAAAAAAGGGTAAGTCTACAACTACATTGCCTAGTGGCCCAAATAAATATTTACTTCGATGTCCTGGGTTTAGATCCTAGCCAGAATTAGGATTTGTGAAAAAAGCAATTTCTGCGTTTACCACTGCGCTGCGCGCTTGCGGAAGACAGCAGACTTAAAATGCAGGTGCGTTGTTACCCCTGATTATTAAGCTGGAATGCCTCGTTTCTAGTGAAAAGCGTCTCCGATCCTTTACACTCACCATACTAAACACGGTAGCATTAAGCTGCTATTTTACGCTGGTGTTCTGTGAGTGGTCCTTCCGCAGTTGTGTCGATCCATTCATTTACAATAACACACCTAAAACTTCATTGTCTTCGATATGCTTATTCATTTATTTTTCGGACATGAAACTTGCTCAAATTTTTTAACTTCACTGTGTGTGATGTTGATGTGAGCCGGCAGGATCGAACTTGGTTTGATCGAGTGTTATAAAATTCTTAGTTTTTAACTACCACGTCTTTGAGAAAAAAATTACGGCAATATAAGCCTCTCTATAGAAATATGCCTTCGCAGTTTGGATAGAAAATTTCAAAGTAAAGTAATTAATAATGTCCTCCAGACCAAATTTCTGTCACCACGGTCAGTCTTCGAATAAGACTAGTCTACTGAGCCTACAGGACAGGATTATAGTGCCACCCTATTCCTTTACTCTCAAAGTCAGTTAGGTTGGTAATCTGATACGATCGGAGAGAGATCAGAGGTGCACAGACCAAAAGCTTAACGTGCTTTTCGTGGCACGGGGGTGAAAGTAACCCCGCCAACTCCGAGCTACTAGTGAGAAGTTTTTGAAAGATAACTCAACAACTAATTTTGGTCCCACCAGGGATGCGACCGCGAGACCTCACGATCAACAATCATGTTTACAACCACTAGACGAGGCAATCGCAACGTAAGTACGCAATGTAAACAAACCTTACGATAACCTTCAGAAGCTAGCGTCATCTAATACTGTCTAATTTCCTTAAGTGGTGGGCTTCGCACAATATATACTAGTACCTGCACAGGTATATAAGTAAAGGTAAGCTAGCTTGATGTCCATTCGGTCAATTAGTTAATACAAACAAGACTTCAGTTCAAGTTTATTGGCTCCATGACCGTAAATTTGTTATGAAATAGACAAGTAAATTATTGTGGGAAGATTTTTGCCACTATACATAATTACATACCCAATATCGTGGGGTTATAGGAAGCGATGGAGGGAAGTAAAACCGGAGGAGGGGCAGCGTCTTCGTAATAATAACTTAAAAATAGAAACTGCGGTTGCCAACCTATATATCGAGCGTGGCAACCATGGCAAATATCTCACCTATGGGAAAATCTAGGGGGGGGGGGCCTATGCTCAGCAGTGGACTTTGATAGAACGTTAAATGTTAGTCACTAACGATGAGTTTTTTTTTGTATATCAATTTCCATTAATGATGAAACGATACGGCAAATATATCTTAATTCGTATTACGAATAACAATACGAATACTTTTTTTTAATTAAAATTTTATTTAATAAAATACAAAAAGAGTTTTATTTTCCTCGTTTATTTTTAATCACTTTAGTTTTAATTTATTTTTATATTTAAAAAAACATACAATTTCCAAATTCCAGTCCTACAGCCAATAGGGTATTTTACACCATGTAGAAATAGATAAAAAGTATGTATATTTATGATAGAATTTGTAAAAAGTAAACGAGAAATATTGATTTCTATTTATAAAATGTCATTGTAAATATTATATTTCCATTTTAAGAATTTTTTTGGGTGTGCCTCAAATCTGCAAAACGCTGTCCGCCGTATTACATCTGTCGTAACGTCACTGTCCAGAATAAGGGAGGGGCAGAACCTAGTGTTCTGTGTCACTGATTAAGAGAACTAGCTGATGCTGTGTTATTT